TCCATCTGCCTAGAAAATCCAGTTTGTTTGCAGAGGCGTGAATGCACAGTTGAACTCTGGTCCGCCTACAAACCTTGGTCTCGGTTTGGTTGAAGGGGACTCTAGTGCGGTTCGAATACACATGTGAATGCAGACTATAGCACAGAGCCTTTTGGCCATAACACGATGCAAAAGATGTACATACGAGATTATGAAAGATTGTGCATGATTTAATATTACTATTAGCAAGTAAGAATGCAAATATTAGAGAAATAGAAACTCAAAGTGAAGTGTTTGCTTTTTATGTTGCACTTTAATATCCCTAAGGGCATCATGTTGTGGTCTTTTAAGATTAATTGAACAGTCATGAACATTTGAGTGATTACCCCATGAAATACTCAACAAACCTACAATTTACAACCTACAATCAGGTGCTTTGATCACCTTTGACCTTGAGATCTGCTTTCATAATTCATTCCACAGATTTAAAAAAATATCTGAAATTTTCCTCTGGCATTCTAGTCCACTATTGTGATTAGAGCGTCACGTAGTTCCCGAAATTTGTCAGATGCACATCTGCAATGTTCCACTACATTCCAAACGTTGCTCTGTTATATTGTGTTGACGTCTGGTGATTGTTGGAAAGCAATAAACTGACTGTCATATTCTATAAACAAGTTTGAGGAGGTTTAAAGTCTCTGACAAGGTCCATTATATTGCTCACAGTGGCCATCAGAAGATGTGTACATTGTGTTTGTGAAAGGACAGACATGAGCAGCAACACTACTCATGTAGGCTGTGACTTGTTTTGCACCAAGTGGCCTGATGCGTGTACAAAAAATATTCCTATAATGTTGATAAAATACATTACGAAAACAAGAGAGTAATAGTTACATTCTTTAATGTTGTTTATGCCCAATTTTGACCATGCAAACTGAATGTTACAGCAGAAACTGAGACCCATCAGCTCCGGCAACCGTTTTCCAATCTCAGTTTCCAAAAACCCAGTCCCCTCTGGCATACAACAACACGGCATTTTATTCCACACAACTGCTCAATGGATGTAAGAGACATCTATTTTAAACCGAGCATCCCATTGTGGATGCTCGGTTTAAACTTCAGTTTTTCTTCCACACATCTGGATCCTGAACAGGGTGATTCACTGCTGTAACAGCTGTATCTCATTAAGTGTTTGGTGAGAGCATATTTTTTACTGCCTGGTTAAACGATTGAGGACGGAAATTACTCTTACACTTGACGGCAGAAACAAAACTCTTCAATATCTCACAACCAGTTTAATAGAGAGAGAGAGAAAAAAACACTTGTTGATAGAAAACATAGAGGCGCGTGAGAATAATACTTCAATAAACCAACGTCGAAGACAAGCTAGCTCCTGTGATTTACTGTTTTACACACATTATGGCGTAAAACACAATTATAGAACACAGACAAAACAACACAACCACGCGGGCAAAACTGTAATTAAAAGGAATACATAGGTACCTTCCTCCCTGTAGTCGTTTTGTTCAGCGTCTCCGTGAAGTCAAGAGTTGGACGATGAATAAAGTGAACGCGCTCGTCTGTGCGCCTCGAGCGCGCGCAGCTCAGGGATGTGCGAGGAGACCCCCCTCCTCCTCCTCTTCCTCCTCTTCCTCCTTCACCTTCTCCATGTCGCTCAGCTCCTCGACTTCCCCATCAATCCCTGCTCCCCGAGCCGACACACACACACACACACGCACACACACACGCACACACACACACACACACACACACGCACACACACACGCACGCACGCACGCACGCACGCACACACACACACACACACACACACACACACACACACTTCTCAGCAGCAGCTCGCAAGGGATTTCCATTAAAACAACAACGCACCAGTCACGATTCAGATGGGGACCGCTGAGATTTTGCGCCATCTCATTGAAATAAACTCCTTTTTTCTTCCCCCTTCCACACAAAAACGGAACCTCGACTGATTAGTTTTCTTATTTCTCTTTGTTTGTATCGCAGCTCCAGCTGGGAGAAATGAAGGAAACACAAGGGGAAGAAAAGAAAAAAAACAATCAGGGAAAAAAAAAAAGTAGCCGAAACATAGTGTTTTAGTAAACTGTAATGTATTATATCTGCTGGCAATAAAACACCTGTTGGGTTTTGTGTTCCTCAAAATATAGTGAGCAGAACATTTGAAAGGCTTTGGAAAAAAGTCACTGAGGTCTTATTTTTAAATTTTGTGACAATTGCAGGTCTGAAGTAGAAAGAAAGTAACTCATGTATGGCAAATAAAAAACTGGCAAAAAAATAAAACATTTAATAAAAAAGTAATGTGTATTTCATCCTTCTGTCAATGCAAAGTTTTCCCACCTTTCACTGCAGTTGAAGCTGTTTGTGTTTTGTAAACTCAATCACCTTTGTACACTAGAGATTGAAATAGTCACCTTTTTTAAAAAAACAACCAAATAGCTCAAATGTAGGTACATTAAATAGAACAACAATATTCCTGTCTTACCACATATTCTCAATTGGACTTAAATCCAGACATTAGGCAGCTCTGAGGAGTAGATATGCTTTGATTTAACCAAAGGGTGCGCTATATGTACTTTATTGTGAAAGTTTCAACGTGATAATTTGAGGTACTATTTCAGTAACAATAAAAGTTACAATGAAGCTATTTACCACTTTGTAGAAATATCAGTGTGACTGTTTTTTTCAAACACCATTAATTAAATTAATCATGACAACAATAAATCAAAGTATTATGAGAAATTTATTACGATAAATGATAAACGATGCGACAAATTTCCTAAACCACTCCACTGCAGCTCAAGCTTCTGCAGTTCACAGCTGGTGAGGCACTGACTTAATCATAATCAGATTTACAAATACGGACCCCCTGCATGTTATTGTCCGAATAAGGAAATTTTGTGCGTGCCGACAACGCTGGAGGGCAAAAAGACTATTCTTCTTCATGTGATCCGTTAACTGAATCAATCTTAGATATGTAGATATGATGGCGTTTGCTATGGATAATCCGTGACGAGCAAAGAAGTCCAACACAGATCGGGGGGGCCGTTCCTCCCAAACACGCCCCTCCAGGTCCCAAGGTCGTTGCCCACATGAGCGTTGAAGTCCCCCAGTAGAACAAGCGAGTCCCCAGGAGGGGCACTCACTCTCCAGTACCCCCTTCAAGGACTCCAGGAAGGGTTGGTAATCTGAACTGTGGTTTGGCCCGTAAGCACAAACAACAGTCAGGACCCGTTGTCCAGGCGGAGGGAGGCTACCCTCTCATCCACCGGGGTAAACCCCGATGGACAGGCACAGAGATGGGTGGCAACAAGTATGGCCACTCCTGCCCGACGCCTCTCACTCTTGGCAACTCCAGAGTGGAAGTACGTCCAGCCCCTCTGCTTGCACTGCTATCTTATTGTGATGGAGTAGTGATGATAAAAATAATAGCTTCAATTCTGTCATTAACTTTTCTCCCCACCTCCAGTAATCAGCTTACTTCAGTTTTTCATGAAATTCTAGGGTTTTGTAGACAGAGATGTATTTTTTTTCTCTAAATGGAGGTCAACTGTAACACAAATAAGCTCTGCATTGTAAAGCTTCTCAGGGACAAACACCTTTTGATTCGAGGAGAACAAAACAAGTCTTGATTGCACACTTACAGTGAAAAACTTTAACCAATTGCATGAAAGGGAGGCTGGAGCGGTTTTGCTCTCCAAGGTTTTGAAACAAATCACCGACTGACTGCTGTAGATGGTTAGGCAACTCATGACCAAGGCATCAGACTATTGATACAGTAAAAATATGATAGAAGAACAACTTTAAGAAGGACGTTATAAGAAAAACAACCGTGCTGAATCATTCCTCTCTTCTTTATATCATTTCTATATTGATTGTGTATGCTTTTCTATGTTTTTCATTAGGGTACAATTCAGTTGTTTTTGATCTATCGCCTGTGAAGTTATTTTATTTTGAATTTGTTGTACACAGCAAAACTGGAGTGTTTAAAATTTCAGGGTTAAACGTGTCAGAGTTAATTTTAACTCAGTAAGTGTACTTTTAACATTTAGCGATTTAAATGATGCCCAGTGTTGGAGTTATTTCGCAGAGTTGATTGCGTTGGTGTTGAATCAACTCTGCAGGGAGATAAATAAGCTCCTCCCCTCTGCTGCAGTTTGATTGCAATCTGAACACGGCTCCGTTTTCTTCATCTCCTGTTCTACACGGTAAGTGTCCAACTTACTAAATATTTTGCCCAGCACTATTACACTGACAGAGTGAGTGATTTGACTATTTCTACTAATTACCACATAATGAAAAGCAGTTGAATATGTTCATTTTGCAACAGTTTTACACAACATGTTAGCTGGTAGCTAGTAGCACTTACACCATTATGATATTATTATAATGGCAATTCTTACAAAACATATTTTGTTGGATCATACACTCGTAAAAAATATACTTCTACGTTTTTGCCGCTTAAAATGATAATTTTGGCCTTGTGAATGTAAGCTAACGACTATTAGCTTCCGTGGAGCGTCAACGAGCCGAAGTCACGTGACACCAATAGCAGAGTTACAGTGAGGTGAACTCTTGACCTTTACCTTATTTTGCTTTGTCTAGGTTTATCCCATGCTTAAATAAAATGCTGATCCATGTAAAGTTTGGTGACCTGCAAAAGTATGTCAAGTTGTAGGAAGTCGAAGGGCCGTTTGACTTTAATCAGATTCATGAGAAAGGTTTGTTATTTATTCATCATCTGTGGGGCATGGGCATTATTCTTTTCAATGTATGTATTTAACACATATTTTACACATTTGTGGTAAGTAAAAATTGTATTTTCATTAATAAGTTTTATGCTAATCACATGATCAATATCAAGTAACTGTTAGTTTAAAAAATACAGCTAATTACAGAATTAGGCTCTAAATCTTTCCTTGTTTTTTCAGTCATTGAACATTTTTGCCTGCCACCTGATACAGAAGTTACATACAAAGATACAACAGATACTGAAGTTGACGAAGAAATATTCAGTGACCTCCTTAGACAAGGCAATGTGGTACTGACAGTTTTCTGCTATGATGGTGAGATACCAAAGCAAATTAAATCAACTGTTTTACAGATTTTACCAAAGAATGTAACTGATGTCTATTGTCTCTTTCTTCAGAGTTCTCAGAATGGTCATCTGCTTCTGACTCAAGCTTCAACTCAAATGCATCAACATCAACAATACTAATGGATGAGATGCCACGCAAGAAGCAAAAAACTGAGAATCCTGAGTGTCTGCTAAAAATGTAACAATATTTTTTATCTGCCTCTAAATTCTGTTTTGTATGCCCAGACATGTTTTGTCATATTTTGGTCATCTGCATATTGCATATTTTCTTTTTTTTTTTTTTTTTCTTTTTTTATTGTTCATTTTATAGCTGGTTGAAGGTGTCCTACAAAGCAAGTCTAGTGGTGAAGAAATTCTGCAGGAGTATGAAACTACAGAAACCCTAACTGATGCCACAAGAAGACAAATGGTGAACATACTGGTGGCTCACATGATTGATGAACAAGGGTATGTTTGTTTTTACACTATTTAATTTATGTATAATAATTGAAAAAAATGTTTAATCACCAATTTAAAATCTGCTGTTAGGCACCTCCCCACAAAAGCAATCAGAGAGAAGTATGCCTTTGGAATAGTGACACTCTTCCCATCCCTCAAGGATCCATACACCAAAAAAGGCAATGTAATGTTTTTTTTTTTCTACAATCAATCATGCTCTTTTGTTTTGTGACTCAAAACTGTGATTTTGCATTTAATTTTTGTTCTTTCTTTTTAAGAACACTTTTATGATGCAGCAAGCAGCACTGGATACATTTCATGGCGTCTTAAAACGGCCCTAAGGAAGATTCAAAGAGGATCTCTTGTGCCATCAAGTAGCACCAATTACATTTCATCTGGAGGCCCAAATATACAGAGAACTGTGATTGTTGAAAAACAGCTTGATGGGAATGCCTGCCAGGAGGCCATATCTCTGCTTAACCACACCACAGACAGGTCTGTGATCTTTCAGAAGATGAGAGACTTTTGAGCACCATCACAAGCTTATTAAAGATGCCAGTGGAAGAAATGATATCCTGACCACATTCCGGGGTTCCTGGACACAAAAGGATTGGTAAGTGTTCAACTGAAGTCTTTAAATGTGGATTTTTACATTGTTATAATGGTTTGATTTCTACATCCAATTAAAGATTGATCAAGACTTCCGTCTCCTATTCAGTGAAGAAACCTCATCCAGACTGCTGCAGAAGTGGGATGTGTTCTTCAAACCAAATGTCATCAAGGAGGCTAAGCGTTTCACTTCTCCACCTGAGTTGAGAAGTTTGGTGCAGTCAGCGGAAAGTCTTCAAAGCGATGACCTCGCTAACACATCTAGTAAGTACCTAGATATATCTGAAGATAGTTGACTATTCAGAGTACTCATAAAATTCTGATTTTATAGCTGAAAACTTTTATAAATTTGTTCTCAGGCTATGACCAAGAAATGGCCTCGCTGTTACTTCTCTTACATCTTCTTCCACCGCAACCAGGAGGACAGAAGTCTCCAAAAATCAGTGCAAGTGATGCAGATGAGACACTTGTTGTCTTTCATAAGGTAACTGAAATTTAAAATATGCAAAATTATTTGTCTATTTACTTCTATAGACATGCATAAATACAGATGTTTGAATGACAGCTTTGAAGATGTCTGGGCATACTTAAATTTATTTTTATGTCACATGTATCGTAAAGCTGTATGTTTTGTTTCTAATGTTTGGTGTATATCTTTTTAATTTTAGTCATGCTGCAGTTTAGAGGAGCATCTTCGGGGACAATGGGGTCTGCAGCCATACCTCCTTGCTGTTGGGCATCAGAAAAGCAAGATTGACAGCTTCTACATCGTCATGGATAAGTGCCTCATCCCATGCCAGACAAACAGTTCTCATGGAGCATTTGATGAGCTATTCAAAGCACATTTTGTGTTTAATTTCTCTTATGATGCTGCATTGATGAATTTCTACACATTTCTGCAGACAACAGTATAACATTGACGTGGGCAAAATGAAGGAATCACCCAGAGTTAGGGACGTGAGAGCAAGGCTGCTAAACCAGTCCATTGTGCTCTATTGTGAGAAAGTCAGGCTAAAAAATGTTGACCTGTTTTTATGTGTCAAAAACTGTATCCAAGCGGACACATTTGATCATCATCATGCTTTCAAAATTGTTCAAAGTGAAGAAAGGCATTTAGTAAAAATCCCTGAACTTAAATTTCTTTTGATATTCAAAACTCTTATGGCATTTCTAATGAATGTTTGATCATTGTACCACAATTTAAAATGTTGGAAACACAGCTGCAAAAATAAAGTGTTCAAAATGTATGTACTTGTGTCAAGTTTTATTTCTGAATAATTATTATAATTAATCATAATCATAAAGTAACTTTTTTTGGAATAAATAACACTTGAAAGTGTTAAATCAACACTAATAAAGTGGTAAATTTTTGTTCCTGGATCAGTGTTATCCAGTATATCCCACAGTGTTAAATTAACCCTGTTTTGTGAGTTAAATAAGTAACTCTGATACAGTGTTAAAATTTTAACTATTGAAAGTGTTAATTTAACTCTTGATGAGAGTGGACTATATAAGCACTGAAAAAGTGTTAAAATCAACTCTGTGGGAGTTAAATTAACACTGGACTTTTGCTGTGTATGATTCGGGTGTGTTACACAGTTTTAGCGTGTGTGGACCTCATGAAGATCAGACGCAGAGAAGTGCAACTAAAGTGGCTCCAAATTTTAAAAAAAATATAGAAAAAATAATAAATCAATCAATAAAAATGTTGTCTGTTTTGCTCAATTTAAGATCACCAAGAGCCGAACAGCCCGGTACTACCTGCACAATTCTTGAAAGTTGGTCAATTGTTCTCAGTTATTTGTCTCTGCTGGTTGTTGTGTTTGTTGCTGTGGTCAAATTGGCCCCGTTTTTCCTTAATCTGGCCCTGAAATGTTTCTCTGGGAGGGATTTTGTTTTTCAGAGCGAGCAGCCGATCATTTCAGTCAACACTGAAAGTTTTGATTTGGAAGCTGGGGCTTCTCTCCCGGTCGATGCGCTCTCAGCTCCCGCTGATGTAAAACTTGCTTCACCGCGGACACCAACACCTCCGTCGGTAACAGTTTGGGTCAAGATGGCCGAAACTTAGACACAACTGGGGCGTTTTCAACAGGATAATAACAACAGGATGAAAACGTTGTTCTGGAGTCAATGAAGCAGCGTTAAAACCAAAACCGTTCTGAAAGTTCGTGAGCGAGACTATGAAGCTGTTTTAGTGTAAAAATAACAACAGATTTTGAGAAGCCTCTGCCTTCATACTCTGAAAAGTGTTTAAGTATGTAATCAATAAAACATAAGCAGCACACCTCATAGTATATGCAGCATGTCTGTCAGCTTCTCTGCACATACTGCACTGTTGTCGAGTGAGTCTCAGTGTGCAGTAATATAAATGACAGCAAAACAGCACCAACCTGAGGTTTTTCATATTATTATTTTCTCCATCATTTGCTGAGGGCACTGTGGGGGGGAAAAAAAGAAAGTGCCTCACCTACAGCTTTTGTAATGATGGTGAAAAGACTGCATATCCTGACATCACGCAGGATGAACTGTTGACAACTTACACAACGAGCCTGGGCAAACATCAGGCTTTCCTGAGCAGAAATAATCAAGCTTATCCAGACAGTTATGTGCAAAAGATCTGCATCTGCTTTGGCTGCTTTGCCAAATTCAAGGTAGCAACCTATTTGCAGAATATGAAAAGCAATAAATTTCACTCACGGGTATAACAGCAAACCTCGAGGTAAAACGAGTCGCTGGTGTTTATCCTTCTAAATTGTTATTTTTCGGAGAACTGCTCAAAAGCTCCATGGAGGCTTTTGAATTCATAACCACAGGATTGTGCCGTGACAGATCGTGAAAAAGCTTTCATATTTTCATCAGATGAAATCACACGTGGCTCTCACAGAATGTTTTTTTTAATATTTATATGAAATACTCTTAGCAGTATTTGTTTGACTGCTCATAAGAAATACATAAAGGTCAATACTGCCTCAACAACTCGCAGGTAACTTGATTCTCGGCATTCTGGCTCAAAGATTACGAGGGATTAAGAGCGACCCGGTGACAGAGGCGATGCCACTGAAGTTCCCTGACTCGGCACAATTTCCAGCTGGGGTGAAATCTATCGACCTTCCTGCCGTTGTAAATCAACCTGGGGCTGCTAAATCAAACCTTACTGGCTGTTTCTTATTCTAACTTTTGTCTGTTTACCCTGGGACTGCAAATCTTGCTAATGAATGTTTGTGCAAAATAATTTTCTAGTGTTTAAGATATTAAACACTTGTTGGAAAGGAAAGATGGTTTTGCAGGTTGGTGGTAATGGCTGCAAAGAAAGCATGAAATAAATACATTCTTATGCAATGTTTAGGCATTAATATGTTTATTCGATATGTTTATCCCCCCTCTTCTCACTTCTGCCCTGATAATGAATCTTTGGTTCTTATCTGGCTTCCTGTTCTGTTTCACGTGAAATCTTGATGCCAAACGTGAATGTCAGGATGATGCATCAAAAACATGACTCTCCTAACAGCCGAAAAAGGTTTCAGTGAGTAGAGGAGCTCTGCTGCGGTGCATAAAGTGTGCTTGAGCTCACTCCAGCTTGGCCTGCACCTGCTGCACACCTACATCATTTTGATGTAGACTGACATGAAGTTGCTGTGAATTGAACAAGTAAAGAAAATCCTTAATCACGTTTTATTGGAAGGGGAAGAAAAACTACCCATAAAGCACATAAGGTCCTAAGCAATGGCTGAGACTGAACTATCTTGGGCATTATTTTATAGAAACGTTGCCGCGTGAAGTCACGCACACACAGGATCCCGATCCAACCACGATCCAAGAAACTGCTTCCCAACAACCACTGGTCCAGTTGTCAACATAAACCACTAAATTGTAAAAGTAAGCTGACATAAAACTCTACGACAACTAGACAAAAAGGTCAGGGAAAAGTGTGAATTAAAAAAAAAATTTCTAGGGCGAGGAAAGTGGTTTGGCTACGCTAGCTTGACTTTGAAAACTTCAACGTGTAGATGTGCTGTCGGTGTGTTTCGGGTCAGCGAAGAAAAAAAGGCGACCCACTCACCAACTCTGACAGATCGCCAGTAGAGCGCCACTGATTAGATTACCTACCACAGGGATCTCTTATTAATAATCACATTAATGACAGAAAGAGAAGCAGCAAGCCTGAAAACAAAAATAGTTATAAATATCTGTGTACAATTTTAAATGCAAAAAATGTATTATATTAGTTCTTGAACTAAAATAATATTTAGATGTGAAAAACACAACCTAATCTTTAAAGAAATTAAGCGCTGCTGTGAAATACAATCCTTTTCAGCACTAATTATATTGCTGTATTTTCTACATTTGTTGGCTGATATATAAAAAGTAAATGTTAAACTTGAAGCTGTTTTCATGGGAACAGTTCGGTATGTTTCCCCCGTTGTGAAACATTTCTTCCCCTTTTTACTTCTGTTTTAAAGGTGACTGCTTGTTTGTCCCATGTTCTCCCTTCAGTGATTCACACTAATTGTCGTGTCTTTTACTCGCCGCAATGAATAGCTCAAAAAACTGAGCTGTTTTACACTGGAAGTCTAATGAATGTCGTTGTGATTATTATACCATTTATCATCACTGTCACTAACATTATATTTGTCAGGATTATACCAAGCAAAAACCTTAAGACTTCAACTTTCAGAAATCAACATACTTTTTAATGGTTGTTTAACTCTGTTAGGAAAAACAAAAGGATTTAATAATTAACTACTTAATTATTAATGAATTATACAAAAAAAATTGTCCAGCGTAGTTTTTACTAGTCATTCTCAGATGTTTTTTTTGTTGTTGTTTTTTTTAAACTTATGGTCTCATTATAAAATGTTTTTAGGCTGAAAATTGTTAAATTCCATGCTAAGACGTCTGTCTGCGCAGTAGCAAGATCTTGACGTAGGTTATTTTAATTACAATATCTTATGTTTTAACACATTTAAAAAAAACCTTGGTTCACAGACACGACTGTGAGCTACATTTGCCTGATGATCAACAGCACACTAAAGATCTTTCATCAATCGATCAAGTTTTTTTGTAGCATATTTCAGCGACAGGCAGCTCTAAGTGCCTTACATTATGAAAACATTTTTAAAAAATCATAAACACATCATAAAGTCCGCAGTCATTAGAATCATCAGTACAATGTGAAGGAATGCCGTAAAGTTTAAAGGTTAATAACTGTCATCACTTTTTTTTCTTTTAGCATGTCCTGTCCAGCAGTGCCAAAGAGAAACACAACAGACTTACTTTTACAAGGGATTTTCAACATTATATTCCACTATTTTTATATAAACTTTATGAGAAATTGATTTGCCTTTATTTTAAATGCAATGGACACTGACATGGGGCTGCACAGAGGCACAGTTGGTAGCACTGTTGCTTTGTAGCAAGAAGGTCCTGTTTTCGATTCCCGGCCTGGGTTTTTTTTTTTTTTTTTTTTCATGTTCTCCCTGTGCCTGGTGGGTTCTCTCTGGGTACTCCAGTTTCCTCCCACAATTCAAAAACATGACTGTCAGGTTAACTGGTCTCTCCAAATTCTCCCTAGGTGTGAGTGTGTGTGTGCATGGTTGTTTGTCCTGCGACAGACTGGCGACCTGTCCAGGTGAACCAAAACCCGACACACCAACCTGTGCATGGCTTGGATTGATTACAAGAAAGCCTATGACTCAATGCTGCATACTTGGATCATTGAATGCTTAGAGATGTATAACATCAACAGGATTCTGAGAGCCTTCATTGCAAACTCGATGAGGCTGTGGAAAACCACCCTTGAAGCCAACTGCAAACCACTTGCACAAGTGTCCATCAAATGTTGCATATACCACCAGCAAAGGTGGGAGAGATCGACGGTTAAACCGCGACGGCTGCTAGCCTGGTTTGTTAAAAAACATGAAAATTAACAATAAAGTAAGTTATTTCTGAACTAAGATGATGATTCAAGTCATTGGATCTCACTTAAGAGCATGTGTTGTAGTGTAAATAACAGAAATGTGCATGCTAACAAGTGAAAATATCCAGGAAAGTCTGTGTTAAAATTCTGTGTAATTTTTGTATTTATTAATGAATCTTTAGAGGCATAAAAAGAGGAATTTTTTTCACAGCTTGAAGAAAAACGAACCCTCAGTTTTGTGTTCTTTTCTGTGACATTCAGTACTGATGTGATGAGCTACTTAAAAATAAGACCTTTTAAGTTGCTCAGGAAATTATTTTGAATCCACGACGCCTTGGTCTAGTCAGAAATTTCAGTGAATTAGACCATCATTAATTTTTTGTATTTTATAAAAACACTCAATTGATCTGATAATCTTTTTAAAATATACAGAAATCACTATTTTACTTTGAGTTCCCTAATTTCTTAGTCTGGAAAAAAAATAGTTTGAAGAACCATTTCTGTGGATAGTTAGTGGGTGGAAATAAATTTGTCTAGATGTCAAAAATAGAACCATTGTAGAGCAGACTCTAAATAAACATGTCAATGCAAAGTGTTGAAGAGACATTATGGACATTTAAACTGTTAAAATAAAAAATAAATATAAATGCATCAATTCAGTCAAATATAAATTGACTGAATTGTCAGTTAGACAAAATGGCTGCCACTATGTGCACAGTTAGCCAAAATGGCTGCCACCAGGTGTACAGTTATACAAAATGGCTGCCACCAGGTGCGCACCTAGACAAAATGGCTGCCACCAGATGCACAGTTATACAAAATGGCTGCCACCAGTGCACAGTTAGCCAAAGTGGCTGCCACCAGGTGTGCAGTTATACAAAATGGCTGCCACCAGTGCACAGTTAGACAAAATGGCTGCCACCAGGTGTGCAGTTAGACAAAATGGCTGCCACCAGGTGCACAGTTATACAAAATGGCTGCCACCAGTGCACAGTTAGACAAAATGGCTGCCACCAGGTGCACAGTTAGACAAAATGGCTGCCACCAGGTGTGCAGTTAGACAAGCGTACATCTTTGACCCTGAGTCAGACCCAAAAGCAGAAGAAGTGGAGCCTCCTGGGCAGTGAACAAGAACGCAGCTGGTGGTTTCTGAATTGTAAGTCAAACACAAAACAGCTGTCTTTTCCAGCAGCCATTTTGCATAGCATGTAGCGGTAAAACTAGCTAACCTGAGTGTTAGAGCTCGGTTTGACTTGGGGCCAAAAATGCAACATTTATTACATTTTCAGCTGTTCACTGCACTGTGTCAAACACACTAAAGATCAGACGAGTAATTCAAGTGTAGAAATATTGCTGACAGTTCAGTCAAATATAAATCTGTCGTTAATCTCTTCATACTAAATAAATTTTAATAAATTAGTTCTATATTTAGTCACAACTTCATCTATAATTTGAGTCATGCAGAGCTGATCTGATCGTTTCCATTGCAAAGATCAGAAGGAAGACCGGGCCACAGAACTACAGTGAGTTCATTGATGAGGTCATCGATGACATCACATACATCACAATAGATCAAAGATGTTCTGAGCCTTTAAACGTTGGAATCTCAAGACATTGAACATTCAGGATCCAGACATCGCCTACATTCTCAGTGTTTCGTAGCTATGATTAATTTCTCTCACGCTCTCGTGCCGTTTGCCCTGCCGCTCGGCTGGGGACTCGGATACATGATAACTACAGGCATTGAAAAAATGTTTAATTACTTTAGTGACACGGATTCAGATTTTGATGGCACGGACATGGAAGAAACCGACCCGGCGGGGAAGGTTTCTTCTCCCACTGAGTCTGTGAGGGTCCCCAACGACCAGGCTACCCCGGCTGGGGTAGCCCTCTCACCCTCAGAGAGCTCTGCCCCGGCTGGGGTAGTTCTCTCTGAGGAAGAGAGCAAACTCGTTGGGGACAATGCAAGTCTGGCTGGTGAAGAGTTTTTATTCATATTAAATGATGTTCGTTTATGTATAATATAAATGTAATATTTTTTGATACACAGTCAAGATGTTTTTCTGTGCAGCTGAAAACGGTGTACAAACTAATGAAACATGATGTGTCTACTGAAGTAAGTTTTCCAGGGTTGTTGAACTTCCCCAGACAGTTATTTGGGAACTCACTGTTTTTCCCGTGGCCTTCCTTGCATGGAGATAGAGTGTTTAGTTTTCACTTCCCATAGACATTACAGTGAATGAGTATACAAGGTTTCGTATGTTTTCCTTTGTTTCTTTTGTTTGGTATTCGAAGATTGAGTCTCCGCCTTGGTAGTAAAGAGCTGAGGATCGCTGAGGGTAGATGATGAGTCAGGCAAAGCTCACTAGTCTTTGCCCCCGGTCCGAATGGAGCGGAGCCTTGGAGGAGGAACGAAGAGTGGGCCTGGAGGATGTTCGTCGGGCTAAAGGTGGAGATGGGGAGGAGGCGAGATGAAGCACGGCTGACGAGCAGGCAGACACCCGGTGGCTAGGCTCCTTAAAGGGACCGGCTTAACGATGATTGGGTGGTGCGGCACGAGGCGCCGATTCGGGTTGGCTGCGGCGTGTCGTGAGTGATGGGAATCAGCTGTGTTCTGTCTCCCAGCTTGAATTTACGCCTAGGCTTCATATGAAAAAAAAGACATCTGTTCCTCTTTTTAATATTAAAGTTAGAAAACTTCAACAGTAACAAAATCCTGTATATATTTACACAGCAACGTACATATTGGACAACCTTGGTTCCTCCAATAAAAGTCTACTTTAATCTCATCTTTGGCAAAAAAAAAAGTTTTCCAAGATCCATTTTAGTGTCAACTTCATTTCTTTTCATTTCACAAGAAAGTTACAAGATAAAGTTTACATTTATTGCTTTAAAAATTTGTTTAGAATGACAAACAAAATGTATCCTTTTCCAATGGTGTGCAATGTCACTGACCATTGCACAATGAGGCAACAGAAATATGGTTGCCTAACAAACGTATTTTTGTCGATAAATCTTTGAAATGTGATTGGTTGATAGACAAATTTGCAGAGTATAAAAGGTTCCTTGGGTCACCGGTTTTTAGGCACCAACTTACAACAATGGCTGCCGTGACGGTTCTCCTGGTTCTGCTGTGGCTCGGTGAGTGTCACATGTTGCAATTGACCATTCTTTATTTGGTATTCCTCCGGGTAAAAACTTATTTTTCTGTTTTTTCTTCCTCTTAAATGCTTTGTTCTTACATGAATAACTGGTGAAAGTAACCTATGGAAACTGGAAGAAAACGATGTGTATTGTGCATAAAAATTGCATTGTAGGAAGAAATGATCTATTTTTCAGACATGTGGAATGAGATTTGCTTTCAATAAAGTTGAATTTAAGTTTTAATGTGAATGTTGTGAGCTTTTCAATAAAAATGTCAAAGGCCTGGTGGTCAAAGGAAGGTCTGTCGGCTCTCTGGCACAAAACCCAAAAGTTAATCTTATGTCAAAGTTTGTGAAAGTTGGTAGATAATTCCAGAACATGCTCTGACTTGATCAATTTTCACCCTGAAACTGAGCCTCTCCATTTGATAACTTTGACCTTTAGGTGTCACGACATGCTCAAAGGTCGATCTGCAAAAGAGACTCATTGGGGGTCAACCATGCAGGCAGGATGAGCGCCGGTATCACGTTCGCTTAGTGACAAAAGACAGTAAGGGCGAAGGTTTGTGTGGAGGCTCTCTACTGCGTAACGGCTGGATCCTGACTGCAGCTCACTGCTGGAAAAGTGGACAGTAAGAACAGAATTTCCCCACTGAGGAATTCTGATGTAGATCTTTGTAAAACCGACTATTACAACTGTTGCTAAAGTAAAAGAAGATGACTAAACCTTCCTCAAACTATAGTTTGTTTTGTCATGCATCCCAAAAAACTGACGGCAAACTTTGTTGCAGGACCGTTGATGCGTATTTAGGATGGCACTTGGGTAACAATGTACCAATACGCATACCACTGGGTATCTTTAAAAAACCTACTATTTATGAAGAAGGACCCTTGTTCAAAAAACAGAAACATGACCTGATGCTGCTGAAGCTCCCTGACAAGGCAACGATTCCACACGGCGTGACAACGATCGAGCTTCCTGACTGCTCAGGCAAGCCTAACATGTGAGTGAGAAATAAAACATCTTCAACTGTCCTGAAAAGCGTACAAATAAATTTGACGTATTCTAATGTTATAAATGTGTTGGATTGCTTTCAGACTACACATATTGGGCCAGGTAACAAAATTTTCAACACAGATAGAGAAGGTTAATAGGTCTCTTGTTATAATAATAACAAGATTGTTAAAAGTACTGCTTGCTCTCTACAGAAAATGTTATCTCCCACCAAGTAAAAACATAATGTTGACATGTTTTTGTGATTACTTGTTGGTGTTAAGCCAGTGGTTCTTAACCTTTTTTAAGGTACCGAACCCACTAGTTTCATGTGCGCATTTACTGAACCCTTCTTTAGTGGTAAAAAAAATACCACCATAGGCCATAGGCATATGCTTTTTTTTTTTTTTTTTTTTTTTTTTTACTGGTGCACAAAATGAGCCATGCATGAACATCACCTTGCTCAAAGGACAAAACCAACACAGTGCACGAACTCACAATAAATTACGGTATTTCTTTATTCTGCCCCCACAAAAATATTTCGATCCCATAAAAGTATTTCAGCCCCGCCACCCCCCAAAAAATTTTTTCTTGCTATTTTACTAATTAAAAATATCTTAGGATTTTTTTTTGAAGAATTTAAAAATTTTTAATAACTTTTTTTTTTTAAATTTAATTTATTTTTGTCATTTTGAATCCACAAAATACTTTTCCATTTTTCCCCATCTCCCTGCAGCTTCAAGAAGTGTTCCCTTAGTTTAGCTGGTGCGAGATCAGAGTTGCTCAACTTTGATCAACTTTTACTTGATCAATTTCAGAGGGAATTCGGTGCAGATTGCAGGTCAAGGTTCGACTTCTGGAAGCTTTTTTACCACCAGAGGTGAGTTTATTTTCCCTTTCTTTTTATATTTTGTAGATATTATACAAGGCTATATACAGTCTAGTGTGATTCTTAGTGTGTAATAATTTTACATTGAAATCATTTATATAATTAAGCCACTGTTTTTCTTTTCTAGAACCTTGCTATTCTCCGGTTCTTCAATGTGGGAATATTAATGTGGTTAGCTGTACTCGCCTCAAACAACAAGAGATTGCAGAGAACTCGTGGCACAGTTACCAATATTGGTTCTGTGGCCAAACACCAGGAGTGGATCAGTGCTTTGTAAGTTGACATTGCGACATAATAAAAGAAAAAGACGTTTACACTTTTAAAGCCACGTCTTCATTTCATTAAATTTGACCACAGTTTTCTGAAGTGTAACGTTTGTCTTTCACAGGGCGACTCTGGTGGAGGAGTTGAGTACAAAGGCAGGATTTATGGCGTCACTTCTTTCACTGGAGATCCAGATCATCCATGCAGGAAACCAGTGGCATTCATGGACCTCTGCCATCAAGACTATCTGACCTGGATTGAAAAAACTATTGGAGCCCCTCCAAATCCAGGATATGTTGTCTAAATTGTTCATTTTATTTGATCTATGCATGAAAATGAAACCTTAACCTGGTTGGAAACAATAAAAATAAATGCGAAAGCAGCAAGCATCAGAACACTTTGCATCGAATAATGTCTTATTTTAACTTTCCTCTGGCATTGAGAAGATTTGCTTTCCTAGTGGTTACTGTTTTTAAACAACTTAAACATTTTCATCTTTAACTCCTTGCTGCTTAAGCCACAGTGTGAAAAACAACCAATGAAAACCTGAGCAACATTTTTCTAACTCCAAAACAAAATTCAGGACTCTGGCTTTTGCGGGCTGATAGACCTATTTCATTAATCTTATGTAAGACATTTTCTTTCTAAACAAAACTAATTTAGGCTTTTCAACCGCTGAAAACAAAAGGATTAATGCTTTCGCTGAAGCGTGTACTTCATTTCCTCTTGAGAGATCTGGCAAGTTCGTTTCATCCAGGGCGAGTCTTAATGTTTGTGATCGAAGGGGTAGATTTCATCTTACATCGAACCTCGTCCACATTAGTGGACGCAAACAAAATGATTACAATCAATCTCTATCATCAGCTGAGTGGATGTACAGAAGACTCACTCTGGATGAGATACTGATCTGTCAGGAGAAATAAGTAAACTGAGGTTTGGACCACATTCTTGATTTCAAAAGGTTAATGTAACCGCGTGTTGCAGCCGTAGCACATTGTGCGTTTGGACTGTAAGTTGTTGGTGACATCATCGAATAAATGTCAGGTGTCCAATTTATTAATTGTGTTCATTATCACCAATAAAAACATCCAAATTAAGTTTCTTATCGCCACCTTGTGTGATTCTGGCAGGCAGGTTTGTATAATCTTTCACTGGAAGAACAGCTCGCTCCAAACACCTCTGCCTCTAATAACACTGTCAATGTAAAGTTTATGAAACTATACACTATTACAATCAGAAATGGTCATAATAGAAATATCGTCATACCCTTAACCTCGGCTTTGAGCTTTAGAAAACAGCTTGATCTGACGCACCCTGAACCTCAGATAAGAGAGCGGCGACGAGACGGATAGAACTGCATTCTCACCATTAATCAGGTTTCCCGCTGGTAATCGCCGCAAATGAATCAGACTGATGTTATTGCCACAACGTCTTGCCCTTCAGGAAGGCAAAGTGAGACGGATGACGCTCATAACAGATGGCAGAAATGCCATCAGATAAATCAGCGTTATCTCAGACGCTCGCTCATCCCCGGCTGCAGTGGTCATGCAGACCGTGATGCACATCTGGCAGAAAATCACGCCGGGAGAGAGTGTTTCAGATTTTACAAATGAATTGAAATAATTCATTCTCATTGAGAACTTCAGTTTTTATTTATTTATTTATTTAAACACCATAAGAAATATATCATTTTATTACAACACTTTTGATCAAGATGCTTTCGAGTCATGCGTTTTATATTAAGCGTCTCAACGACACACCATGAGCACAACTCATGGAAACACTGCTTGCTTTTTTCGCTTGCAATATGAATGGCTACTCCATGTTGCGCAACTGCTTCTTTTTTAAAATTGTAAATTAGACACACCAAAAAAAAAAAAGTAACATATACATTTCTCATAAGCTCATAGAGTGATAACACAGTGTGCAAACCTGGAACAGTTACTATGAGAATTTTCCACATTAGACAGAGAAGCTGAATCTCTCGCAGCATTCGTATTGCTCGGCGTTAGAAGGCTGCTAATAGATGTTTGCTGCTATTCAATTGTAACTGTCCAGGTGTTTTATACAATTACAGTGGAGATTTATAAGAAACTTTGATAAAAGAACTTTAAAATCTTTTCTTAAGGCAGAGTCAGCGGTCTGGATGCCTGGCGTTGCTCCTCTCCGGTCCTGCAAGAGTTCAAATGCAACGCACATAAATCACACATTTAAGCAGGAATGTAAATCATACAGGATATTCATAGAAAAACATGTTCTCAAGATTAATAGAAGGTTTTTTTTTTTTAAATCACAGCAGCTCTAGGACTTATTTCATATCTTACTCTGGTGAAAAAAATAATAAATTTTCAGCATATTGCTTTTCTACTGTACAGCAAGGGTGCAATTATTGCATTAATTCCAAAACAGCAGGAAACCAAATTTGAGTCATTTGTTAAAATAAATAAATAATAATAATTATAATTGAATCCTGAGCTTTTTAGCTTATAACGCTGTTCCAGTGGAGAAGCTGCAGCTAACAGTCTTGTTTATCAAACTCTTGGTTTACTGCAAGGCTTAAATGTTTGTGCTCCCTCTTCCCAGCTAATTTCAAAGCTTCCCTGATGCGTTCACTATAAATATTAAAGAACTTGATTTAAATAATAATAACAGCTGCTCTTAAGTGCTGGCTTAATAGCAGCTAGCACTTCAGCTAGCTAGTGCAAGCAGGTTTAAGAAAAAAAACGTTTATTTTTGACCCGTTTATTGAAGTTTTGTAGATAAGGATATGATTACTGTTAATGTGAAGTAGTGAAATAAATGAGCTGACCGAGTGAATACGGTGCTGCTGGAGATGGAAACTGAGGTAACAGATGTGAACTAAGGTTCATTTGTGTCTAAACTCCAAGTGACAACAGCTTCTATTTTCTTGGAAAACTGAAAGAATGTTTTACAGTTGCAGATACACATGCAGTATTTAGTACTTAGAGACTTGTGTTTTTGTTTTTTGACAGTCTCCATGGACAGTCAGTCGGTTGCTAACTGAGGGCATTCCTCAGTATTTCCCTAAAATAACTAAATTCAGGTTGATCATAGGTGATGGTAGGATGGAGCAGGAAATGACTGGATGGGTTAGGTCTTTGTTTGAGGCAATGCTACCTCATCTACAGTCATGAGCTAGCAACCCTGGCAGCTAAACCTTCTCTCAACAGTCTGCCCCCTTTCTCCACATGTGCCTCACCTTTTACAGCATTGAACAAGAAGTCTTCTTGACCTTGGCAGGCTGGGGGCAGAGCACGGCCCGAATGGCCTCATCAAATACAGTTTTCAAGCCGCGTTGAGTCAAGGCAGAGCACTCCAGGTACTTTACGGCGTCTGAACACACGGAGAACGACACACATACATGCAAATAAGCATTCGAATAACTCATGTATTCAGCCACAATGTAAATTACAGCGATTTCTTGTTTTGGGGAAGTAAAGGAAGGGCACGAAGACATTCAAAACATTAAGAAAACATCACAAGTGCAACTTACCTATCTCTGTTTTTATGCAAGGATTTTTTGGCTAAAGTGGCCTTTATTTCACAGTACACAAGAGGGTTGTGAGAGAGGAAGAAGACATTTGGCAAAAGTCAATGGGCCCTGACAAGAGCTGAAGGCTCCGAACACGGGCTGCATTGCTCGCTCTACCCAACACTAACTTACCTATCTCTTTAGCCAGAGCGAGACCCTGTGGGTAAGTGATGGGGGCCAGCTTCTTTTCCTTCAGCTTCTCAATGGTCTCCTTCTCATCCCTCAGATCTAGCTTGGTGCCCACCAGGATGATGGGGGTGGACGGGCAGTGGTGACGAACCTCTGGGTACCACTGAAAACAAAGACAGCCACCAAGATAACTTTAAGTGCTGCTATTCGAATCAAAAATATGCCACAGACGTTTCTCCCATTTGATTTCTGCCTCATCGTCCTTTTTTCTCATCCACCCTTCCCTTGGTCACTTCTGCACTCACTTCTTCCTGTCATCCATTAGGCTGTAATGGATGTGGTATTTGACTGACAAATGCAGCCATCTTAATAGCATTGCTTGCACCAAAGCCATCTGATTGACGCACACGAGCTGTAGGAATTACCAAATGAATCACGCTGCTACCTTCACTGGATTCTTGATGGGTATTCGTCAGACTCAAACAATTACGAAAGTTGCTGCTTGAGCTCAATTTAACTTCTATGTTTTACTTTTACTTTTAGTAATACAAGTGTTATTTCAAAGTACCAACATTAAACCCTTTATAACAGTTTTATCTTGTTTGCTTCTTGTTTATTCCTGTAAATCACTTTGTGTTGCATGTCATTTATAAGTTGCCACACAAATTAGATGTAATTGACTTATGGAAAGCTTTTTGGTGTAAGAAAAAGAGGCTCACCTTGGCTCTGACGTTCTCATACGAGGCTGGGCTGACCAGGGAGAAACAGATGAGGAAGACGTCCTAGACAGACCACAAAAGAAAAAAGAAAAAAAAGATTGTTCATCTTAAATTTATGTGGTTGGTGGGATATTTAATTATGAGTTTAAATGGCTACTGACTTATAAATGACCGGATATTGTCTCTCCATACCATCTTTTAAAAAACGGCATGCAGCAGTCTCTTATCACCCTCAATAATTATTATTTTTTGAAAGACAAATGGTTTATTTCCTTTCACCGTCTGCATCATCGTGACCAAACACTTCTACTTCCCTCCCTGTTGCTCCAATCAATAAAAACTGGGTTTTGTCAGCCTGACATTTGGTATAAGTTGGACAGCTGCAATTTAAATAGCATCACTCTCCACAGCTGGAGTTACAGCTGGATCTCGTTTCCTAATGAAACGCCCGGCGCGTGGACTCCTCATGCGGAAATGACTGCATACCGTCTGCGGATAGGACAGGGGGCGGAGCCTGTCGTAATCTTCCTGTCCTGCTGTATCCCAGAGGCCCAAGTTTACCGGCTTGCTGTCCACCATCACGTTAGCCGAGTAGTTGTCGAAGCTGTCGAAAAGACAGAAGGTGAGTGAGTTCGACTTAACAAGCAATTTAAGTGGAGACACACAGTAAAGTTATATATAAAAATATATTACAATTCGAAATAGGAAAGGATACGAAGAAGAATAAAAAGGAATATGGCGCAGTGATTAGAGCGCGAGCCCCAAAGGGAGACCTCGACGTGGCCGAACCGAGATCGAGTCCGGTCCTCGGTTCCTTATACTTTTAAATAAGGCCTACCATCAAAAATATTAGAAAACAAAAAATAATAATAAATATAAATGCCTCTTGGAAGGAACCTAAGAGACTTTGTGATGTCATAAAACGATAAGAACAAGTCATGTATTCAGGCGCTGTTTACCGATCAAAATTTTAAGCAACACTGCCACTTAGTGG